GGGTACCCACTGTGCTGGGCCCCCCAGCAGGCCTCGAAAGTGGCGACAATTTCACAGATCGCAGCCCCCCAGGGATGGCGAGGTCCCATTTGAGTCTGCGGTGGGTACCCACTGTGCTGGGCCGTTTCACAGATCGCAACCCCCCAGGGATGGCGACGAGCGAGGTAAAAGGCAGGGGGGAAGAGAGGTACGGGAAGGAAGGAAGGAGACGCGCGAGCGGTGCTCTATTCAAAACGCGAACCCAACGCAGGAGGGTTGGGAACAAGACAGCCCCAGCCATAAGTGTTCTAAGGGCATATCGTGCAGACCACAAGCGGCTGTCAGAACATCCTTTGGTGGGCCTACAATTAGGCGAGCCCGGACGCTTCACCACTGCTTGAATTGCACGAGCAAGGGGCCTCGAACAATCTCGTAGTCACTTCGATTTGGAGGGTGAACGTGGGGGTCGGGCGCAGGGTCCTGGCAATGGTGTCTTTATGGGCCATGCATGGGCGATGCATCCTCGATTGCTATGTTCGGCGGGGGAACCAATTGAAGCTCCCCGCTTGCGCCCATGCGCGAGACTTGAGGGTAAACGAAGCAAGGGGGCGGGGGGCTCGGGAAAGGCAACGAAGGCAACGTGCACTGAGGGCGCAACAAAAGGTTTGAATAAACGAAAGCGGCGAAATGAGTGTCAAAGTCTGCCCAGCCAGTCTGACATGCGGAACACTGCGCTTCAGTTTGGGGGATCTTGAGGGCTAGGGCATAATGTGAATTCACATTGTGGGGAAAAACAAATTACCCTGTGACGTACCCGACCCATTTGTATCATGGGAAACGAGGAGTTGGCCGAAACTTGCATGGACAATCAAATTGCAGGATCCGTTGTTTGATATGTAAGCTACTTGGGACACGCGCCTATGGCATGATGCGCAGGAGAACCGTACAAGAAAGAGGGGCAACAGCTACAGGCTCGAAGAGGACATGGGGAGTCGGGAACGAAGAGCAGGCGAAAGACGTGCGGGAAGCCCACTGTGCTGGGCCCCTCAGCAGGCCTCGAAAGTGGCGACAATTTCACAGATCGCAGCCCCCCAAGGATGGCGAGGTCCCATTTGAGTCTGCGGTGGGTACCCACTGTGCTGGGCCCCCCAGCAGGCCTCGAAAGTGGCGACAGTTTCACAGATCGCAGCCCCCCAGGGATGGCGAGGTCCCATTTGAGTCTGCGGTGGGTACCCATTGTGCTGGGCCCCCCAGCAGGCCTCGAAAGTGGCGACAGTTTCACAGATCGCAGCCCCCCAGGGATGGCGAGGTCCAATTTGAGTCTGCGGTGGGTACCCACTGTGCTGGGCCCCCCAGCAGGCCTCGAAAGTGGCGACAGTTTTACAGATCGCAGCCCCCCAGGGATGGCGAGGTCACATTTGAGTCTGCGGTGGGTACCCACTGTGCTGGGCCCCCCCAGCAGGCCTCGAACGTGGCGACCGTTTCACAAATCGCAGCCCCCCAGGGATGGCGAGGTCCCATTTGCGTTTGCGGTGGGTACCCACTGCGCTGGGCCCCCCAGCAGGCCTCGAAAGTGGCGACAGTTTCACAGATCGCAGCCCCCCAGGGATGGCGAGGTCCCATTTGAGTCTGCGGTGGGTACCCACTGTGCTGGGCCCCTCAGCAGCCCTCGAAACTGGCGACAGTTTCACAGATCGCAGCCCCCCAGGGATGGCGAGGTCTAATTTGAGTCTGCGGTGGGTACCCACTGTGCTGGGCCCCCCAGCAGGCCTCGAAAGTGGCGACAGTTTCCCAGATCGCAGCCCCCGAAGGATGGCGAGGTCTAATTTGAGTCTGCGGTGGGTACCCACTGTGCTGGGCCCCCCAGCAGGCCTCGAAAGTGGCGACAGTTTCACAGATCGCAGCCCCCCAGGGATGGCGAGGTCCCATTTGAGTCTGCGGTGGGTACCCACTGTGCTGGGCCCCCCAGCAGGCCTCGAAAGTGGCGACAGTTTCACAGATCGCAGCCCCCCAGGGATGGCGAGGTCCCATTTGAATCTGCGGTGGGTACCCACTGTGCTGCCCCCCCCAGCAGCCCTCGAAAGTGGCGACAGTTTCACAGATCGCAGCCCCCCAGGGATCGCGAGGTCTAATTTGAGTATGCGGTGGGTACCCACTGTGCTGGGCCCCCCAGCAGCCCTCGAAAGTGGCGACAGTTACAGTTGTAATTCCGGCGCGCATGGCGAGCGTCAAATTGAGGGTTGCGGGGGGTTGGGTACCCACTGTGCTGGGCCCCCCCAGCAGGCGTCGAAAGTGGCGACAGTTTCACAGATCGCAGCCCCCCAGGGATGGCGAGGTCCCATTTGAGTCTGCGGTGGGTACCCACTGTGCTGGGCCCCCCAGCAGGCCTCGAAAGTGGCGACAAATTCACAGATCGCAGCCCCCCAGGGACGGCGAGGTACCATTTGAGTCTGCGGTGGGTACACACTGTGTGCGGTGGGTACGCAGTGTGCTGGGCCCCCCAGCAGGCCTCGAAAGTGGCGACAGTTTCACAGATCGCAGCCCCCCAGGGATGGCGAGGTCTAATTTGAGTCCGCGGTGGGTACCCACTGCGCTGGGCCCCCCAGCAGGCCTTGAAAGTTGCGACAGTTTCACAGATCGCAGCCCCCCAGGGATGGCGAGGTCGAAGGCAGGGGGGAAGAGAGGGACGGGAGGGAAGGAAGGAAGGAGAGCGCGAGCAGTGCTCTATTCAAAACGAGAACCAAACGCAGGAGGGTTGGGAATTGATAATTTTGTGCTTTGGGAAAAAAGGAAAAAGTGAATGCCACATTTGACAAACAAGGCGCCCCACGCGCAATATGCAAGAACGCGCGTACGCATGAACGATAATGGATGGACGGCGCGTTTGCCCGCGCGGGCAACGCGCGGGCACGAACGACTGGCCCTCCATGACCGCCAACATTGGATGCCAATCGTACCCGATCACATACATGAGCGATACATTGAGCATGCATGGGCCATTCAGCCCCCATTGAAGACCCCCTGTTGCAGACCCCCTCTTTCACCCTCCAATGATGCGAAGACCCCTTCCTTGTCCCTTCCCCGCGGGCACTGGCTCCCAGCCCTGCCCCTGGCCCCAGCCCGGGCCGGGGCCCCCGCCGCGGCCCCGGCCTCGGCCCCGGCCCCCGGCACGGGCCCCAGCTCAGCGCAGGCCAGACGCGGCCCGAGGAGGGACAGACGTCCATCTTCCTCCCCCTCCTCTCCTCCTCCTCCTCCTCTCCTCCTCTTCCTACGCCTCCTCCTCCTCCCCTCCTCCCTCCTTTTCCTCCTCCTCCTTCTCTCCTCCTCCTCGCGTCCTCCCCGCTTTTTCGTCGTCGTCCTCTCCTCCTCATCCTCCTCCCCTCCCTCCTCCCTCCTCCTCCTCCTCTCCTCCTCCTCCTCCTCCTCCTCCTCCTCCTCCTCTTGTTATTGTTTTTTTTCTTTTTCTTGCTACTATTATTATTACGTTTATTATTCTTCTTATTTTTCTCATTGTGTTTCTTACTATTATTATCATTCTCCTTCTCCTTCTCCTTCCCCTGGCCCTCCTCCTCCTCCTCCTCCTCCTCCTCCTCCACAATTACACAATATGAAAATACTCTCCCACTTCACCTGATGGCGTCCCGAAGATATCCGACCCCCCCGCGTACTGTTTTTTAACACACAGGATTCCCGGGAAACGGGTTTTCGCCTGCGTTTTTTTTTTGTTTCCAAAATGCTGCTCTCGCTGAGGCGTCGGCCTCATTTCTGTTCCCGAATCCTTCCGAATCGTGCTCCCGCTGCAGCGTGGGCCTCATTTTCGGATCGGTGTTTGGCCTCCGTCGTTCAGGATGGCGTTCTCGCCCCAGCGCGGGCCTTTTCTCGCGCGCCATCCCCATGCCGCCGCGCCGCACCACCACCACCACGCCACCACCACCACCACCACCACCACCCAGCACCAGCACCAGCACCAGCAGCACCAGCACCAGCACCAGCACCAGCACCAGCACCAGCACCAGCACCAGCACCAGCACCAGCACCAGCACCAGCACCAGCACAGCACCACCACCACGACAACCACGCACACACGCACGCACGCATGCACCACCACCCACTACGCACGCGCGCGCGGAGCCACAGGTCCGCTACGACACGCGTCCGCGGATAGAGAAAATCAGCGCCATGGTAAGGGATGGGAGGGAGGGGTAGGACGTCAGATATGACGCGAGCGCACCTAGCTTGTCCCCCCCCCCCCCCCCCCCCCTCCCCCTCCCCCTCCCCTCCCCCTCCCCCTCCCCAGTCTCCCTCCCCTCCTCCTCCTCCTCCTCCTCCTCCTCCTCCTCCTCCTCCATCCTCCTCCGCCTCCTTCCTCCTCCTCCTCTCCTCCTCCTCC